CGTCACACTGCTGGAATGCCAGCTGCTGATGATAACCGTCACACTGCTGGAATGCCAGTTGCTGATGATAATCGTCACATTGCTGGAATGCCAGTCTCTGATGATAACCGTCACATTGCTGGAATGTTAGTCGCTGATGATAACCGTCACATTGCTGGAATGCCAGCTGCTGTTGATAACCGTCACATTGCTGGAATGCCAGTTGCTGATGATAATCGTCACATTGCTGGAATGCCAGTTGCTGATGATAATCGTCACATTGCTGGAATGCCAGTCTCTGATGATAACCGTCACATTGCTGGAATGCCAGTCACTGATGATAACCGTCACATTGCTGGAATGCAAGCTGCTGTTGATAACCGTCACATTGCTGGAATGACAGTCACTGATGATAACCGTCACACTGCTGGAATGACAGTCACTGATGATAACCGTCACATTGTTGGAATGTCAGTCACTGATGATAATCGTCACATTGCTGGAATGCCAGTCACTGATGATAACCTTCACATTGGTGGAATGTCAGTCACTGATGATAACCGTCACATTGCGGGAATGCAAGTCTCTGATGATAACCGTCACACTGCTGGAATGCCACTTGCTGATGATAAACACCACATTGGTGGAATGCTAGTCGCTGATGATAACCATCACATTGGTGGAATGTTAGTCACTGATGATAACCGTCACATTGGTGGAATGCCAGTTGCTGTTGATAACCGTCACACTGCTGGAATGTCAGTCGCTGATGATACCCGTCACACTGTTGGAATGCCAGTGGCAGATGATAACCATCACACTGCTAGAATGCCAGTCGCTGATTATAACCATCACACTGTTGGAATGCCAGTCGTTGATGATAACCGTCACACTGCTGGAATGCCAGTCGCTGATGATAACCGTCACATTGCTGGAATGCCAGTCGCTGATGATAACCGTCACATTGCTGGAATGCCAGTTGCTGATAATAACCGTCACATTGGTGGAATGCCAGTCACTGTTGATAACCGTCACATTGGTGGAATGCCAGTCTCTGATGATAACCATCACACTGCTGGAATGCCAGTCGCTAATGATAACCGGCACACTGCTGGAATGCCAGTCGCTGATGATTACCGTCACACTGCTGGAATGTCAGTTGTTGATGATACCCGTCACACTGCTGGAATGCCAGTCTCTGATGATAACCATCACACTGCTGGAATGCCAGTCGCTAATGATAACCGGCACACTGCTGGAATGCCAGTCGCTGATGATTACCGTCACATTGCTGGAATGCCAGTCGCTGATGATAACCATCACATTGCTGGAATGCCAGTTGCTGTTGACAACCGTCACACTGCTGGAATGTCAGTTGCTGATGATACCCGTCACACTGCTGGAATGCCAGTCTCTGATGATAACCATCACACTGCTGGAATGCCAGTCGCTAATGATAACCGGCATACTGCTGGAATGCCAGTCGCTGATGATTACCGTCACATTGCTGGAATGCCAGTCGCTGATGATAACCGTCACATTGCTGGAATGCCAGTCTCTGATGATAACCGTCACATTGGTGGAATGCCAGTCGCTGATGATAACCATCACACTGCTGGAATGCCAGTCGCTGATGATAACCGTCACACTGCTGGAATGCCAGCTGCTGATGATAACCGTCACATTGGTGGAATGCCAGTTGCTGATAATAACCGTCACATTGCTGGAATGCCAGTTACTGTTGATAACCGTCACGCTGCTGGAATGCCACTCGCTGATGATAACTGTCACATTGGTGGAATGCCAATCACTGATGATAACCGTAAATTGCTGGAATGCCAGTTGCTGTTGATAACCGTCCCACTGCTGGAATGCCACTCGCTGATGATAACAGTCACACTCCTGGAATGCCAGTCGCTGATGATAGCCATCAAATTGCTGGAATGCTTCTGAGATAGCTTTAATGAAAGTCATTAGTTGATGAAAAAGGATGTTCTTCACACAAGATATATCATGTTCCGTAGCCTGGAAACTAGACATCAATAATATGTAAACCTATACGTGGGGAAATTGGTCCCCATTTTTCAGACAGGGCAAAGGATCATCAATCAAACTGATAAGGCACCTTGGAATGTTTAGGAAACTTAACTCACTATTCATACCCTGAAAACGTAAGCATATATCAATAATGTATGAACTGATACGTGGTGAATTATCGGACTCCATTTGAAATATCTGTCAAAGTAACATCAATCTAACTCTGAACGCACCTTGGAATGTTTTGGAAACACAAATCACTATGGCCAAGGATTAGCTTGACAACTGAAGTAATTCTTGTCACAAAGCTCAGGGTAAGTGGTGATGGAATGGGTCATAGCGCCTTCTAAACTTTATTTGTTATAATTTCTTTAGTTTTGTTGCATTTGCACATAGTTGCACATGTATATAAATTGTCTATATAAACAAAAGATGAGAAGATGACCAGAATTGAGTAAATTGGTTAAGATGTCCATACATTTTGGCTGTGTATTTTGTGAAGTAATGAAGGCATGTGAGTTCTTCCTGAAGCATTTAAAAATTTATTGTTCTATTTTTGAAAATATATTGTTTGCATACAATTATTAAGAGATTTATTGGTCCAAAATTTGGTAGCAGAGTCAAGAAGTATATGTTTCTTTTTAAGTTTAATGGATAAATACTGTCAGGTTGACCCATTTTTCAAATTGTGTCAAGATGGAACTCACATGGGTGCAATACCAGAACAGATGATCAGCTGTTTCACGTTGATTATTACAATTACCACATAAATTGCTGTCTGCGTATCCCATTTTAAAAAGTAAGGAATTTGTTGGTAAGATATGGTGGAGAATTTGATATTGAAACCATTTCTGTTGAGAAATTTCCAGGCATTTAGTTGGAATCATATTATATTTTTGTCTATCAGGTTCCAGTACTGTTTCTCCAAATATCAATTCCCATTTTGGAAAATGTTGATTTCGTAAACACTGAGTTTGTATAAGAGTTTCATAGTAATGTCGATTTCATTTTACTGTTTTAAGTAGATGTATGATATTAAATGGCATAAACGGACATTCAAGATTTGTTTTAAAATTTGGAAATCCCATTCCACGACAATATGCTTAGACAGGTGCTAACACGTTGTTGAACTGTAGAAAATTAACCTTAATGTCATAACGTTGTTTGAACTCTAAAATAACAGTTTTCGTTAATAAGATCACTTATAAAATCTATTCCTTTACTCTGCCATAGCTTTAATGAGACTTAGTCCAAGAGGAGGCAACTGAAAAATTTCAAATCGTAGCCTCCCCAGGACTGATTTTGTTTGACACTATTTTCAGTTAGTATGATGTCTTGGGCTCATGAAAAGGTCTGTAAAACTCTCAGATTGTGGAATCAGGTATTTTTACAGGCCATTATATGTGGTGGGGGTCTGCGAGCATTTTCGTCACATTTGGTTTGCTGCTCGACAACACCTCAAAGTAAATCATAGATAGTTTTACTACTATCAATCTGATCACTTTCATTTTGACTTCTGTGTACTGCTAAAGGATGTAGAAATTATTTGACATAATTTTGTTTTGAAAATAAATCAAAATGGCCGCCACTTTCGCCGCCATTTTGTATTGTCGTGTTTTGCCTTCTCAGCACTTAAATTTACATAAAAAGAACACCGAATGTTTCCATTTACATCCAAAGTTGATACTTTTGATGTTTTTGGACATTTGTTTCTCCTAGAGTGATGGCTTGGGCACAAAACAAGTCATTTTGTATTGTCATATCTTGGTAATTTAATGTTTTACCGCTTATTCTTTGAGACAGGGGTATTTTAGCGATTCTCCGACTTTTCATGGAAATGTGTGAGGGTGATTTATATAATGGCAGTTAACATTATTTTTGTTACTAAAACAAGTTGTTTTTGTTTTCTCTTTACTTCTAGAGTAACGGCATGTTATTAGGAAAATTAACATATTACCCAGAATTCAAAATGGCCGCCATTGTAGTTTAACTACATATACTTAGTGGAAGACTAAATTTGTACTGATATGAAATCCAAACAACTCATTTGGTGTCTAATGTTTAATACAGTATAGGAATAGAGCTAAATTTCAATGATATGGTCAATCAAAGCGTCACACTCCTAAAATATTTGATGAAATAACATTATTCAAAAGTGTTTGAAAACTATGCTTCATGGCTGATAACTACATCTAAGCTTTGGTTGTAGCTATTCAAATTGTTCTATCAGATAACTCTTAATCACTCTTGATACATCCATAAGCTTGCAATTAACCCTCCTTTTCACTTTCTTTCATTTCATATGTTACTTCATGTCCGAATCGGACCTGTGAAGATCCGGGTTAGAATTGATCTTCAATAACCCATGCTTGTCTTAAGAGGCAACTAACGGGATCGGGTGGTCAGGTTCGCTGACTGGGTTGGCACATGTCATCGTATCCCAATTGCGCAAATTGATGTTCATGCTGTTGATCCCTGGATTGTCTGGTCCAGACTCGATTATTTACAGACCGCCGCCATATAGCTGGAATATTATCGAGTGCGTAAAACTAAACTCACTCACTCACTCATGTCAGAATCGGGAGTCATCTACTGGCAACAAGTCAAAGGTGTTCGGGCAACGATCACCTGCCATACAAAAAGACATGCCTCTGTACACACTATATCATTCTTTCTGCTGGCATGCTGACTTTTTGCATTTACACGATGTCAGTTCATCCAATCCACGGGGAGCAGGATCTCTCGACATCAGAATAGGGATAAGCTGACCATCACAAATGCTCCAACCATGGTTAACTGGTGAAGGAATATTCATGATTGGTTGCAGAGACTGTTTCCAAACATGGACTTGGTAGTTTACTCGTTCAGTGTGATGTTTTAGACTGTTGGATGTTGATGGGAGGTTTTCATTCAATATCTTGTGTCATCTACAGACATCACTGGATTATTTGGTACATGCATAGAACTCACAAACTGGCCACAAGATGTAATGAGTGTTTCTGGAACATCCAAATTGTCACCTAATTGTGTCAATGTTTGTTGGTGATTTTCAGAGGACTTCAGTAAGTCAATTCCCCATGTCGAACGTTCTACACGTTCTAAAATGAGACGGAGTGATAACGTACTTAAAACGAGATTGCCATACTAAGAACGGAATTGCCATACTACGAACGGAATCGCGGCGCTTCAATCTTACTGGGTACGTGTGCGGACGTAGTGCAGTCCGGCATCAGTTGCAATATGTTTGTACACAGTTTCCACCAGGTCCATCCCATTCGCAGAACTCTACTGAACTCTAGTTAGTCGCTATTCCGTGCACATATGTTCAAAACAAAATGAATTGTTCTGAAGAAGCTTGTAGTACACGGTTCTAACAGTTTGCAATGAGTTCTCATTACGTTTTACTCGTTGTTAGTATGTTTATGTAGTTCTCACGCAGTTCTTACTATGTCAACACTGTGTGCATTGCGACATGACAAGGTAGGGTATATATACATGCGTTTTTAACATGGTCATCATTTGGGATAGAGGTTTCTATGAACAGGTTTGCAGCTGTCAACATATTGAATGCTGGTTTCCTGCAATTTTATCGGAAGCAGAGCAAGAGTACAATGAGTTGGTAAAGCAAGAAAGAAGGAAAAAACAAGAACTTGTTGGGTGAGGAACTGGCTTAAAGCTGAGAGGTGAATAGCTGTGGGACATTATCATCAACTGATGGAGGAGCTCCGCCTTAATGATCATGAGTCCTTCTACAATTTCTTGACAATCACCCCACCCATGTCTGATGAACTTCTTGAACGCATTGACCCTTTATAAATTAGATGTCTCTTTCGGTCCACCCCTCGTCTTCCTTAGAGGCATGGTGATGTCATTGTTTCCACCTGGAAACTGAGAACGGAAATAAGAGTGGGCAGGGTATTTATACAATCGAACCAGGAAGAGATTGCTATTACGATTGCACGCACTAGAAACGGCGAGAGAAAGTAGTGAGAACGGGAAGAAGTGCCTGAAATGAATGGGTTTAGTTGAGAATGAGTTAGAACGGGGTTGTGCGTATTAAGTACGAGATAGGCCTAGTTCAGAACGGATATAAATTGACTAAGGACGGGTTTGGACTGCTTGAAAACGTTGTCCACACAGGGTGAACGGGCAATTTTACCCACTCTTAACGTTACACCAACTGTCTGGGGACGGGGTAAAGACGAGATAGACGTACTGAGTACTGTTTATGATCAAACTAGCATTGTAATTTATACAAAAGTTACACGTTCTATCCCGTTCGAGCTAATTTTACAGTTATTGTTTGGACGAGTCAGTACATCCTAAGAACTACCAACAGGTAGAATGGCTGGACCAACAGAACACCATCGTATGTTCATAAATGCTACAAGACTAAGACTTGTTGACAGGACTGCTGATGTGTTTGTCCCATTGTCTTGGTAGTGGTTTGTTTTTGCCAACAATCTTGACTTCTAGCGCCGTTTGCGATCCTCTTTTGATTTGCTCCCCTGCTTTGATTGACTCTTGTGTGGCATACCCCTCCGAACAACAACAACTCTAATGCAGTCTGTTTTGATTCAGAATTGAAGTGAAGTTCATATCAGCCAAGTCTCCAAATGTGGAAGCAGTTCCCTTTCTGACGATTTGCAATTTTGCCATTCCATCAACTATATGAACTGGCAACATTCTCTCTTCTGCTAGTATAAGCAGCGAATGACCAAAAACCTCCTTTTAAAGTTCATTTAACAAACCGCTTTTGATGTTCTTTCTTAATGTTCCATCTGAAAGAGCTATTGTAAGATAAACACTAGAAATGTCCATGTTCACATCAGGGTTGATGACAAATCCATTCAATCTCCCAAATGAATGATGTCTGCATCTTGTGAACATTGAAAGTAGAGTTGTTGTCCCAAAGGATATGATTCACAGCCTGTTGCATGTTAAACAGATTGGGGCAGAGCAAAAGGATAACTTCATAAGTAGTTGACTGAACTCTTCCAGGACAAACTTTTGGTCACCTTTACATCGACTGAACCGGAAAACCTTTCCTACATTGATTCCCCAAAAACTGTAAAGCCCAGGAATGAGAAGCTTCACACAACAAATGGATGACAATTTGGATGTTCAGGAAACACTCATTACATCTTGTGGCCAGTTTGTGAGTTCTATGCATGTACCAAATAATCCAGTGATGTCTGTAGATGACACAAAATATTGAATGAAAACCTCCCATCAACATCCAACAGTCTAAAACATCACACTGAACGAGTAAACTACCAAGTCCATGTTTGGAAACAGTCTCTGCAACCAATCATGAATATTCCTTCACAAGTTGACCATGGTTGGAGCATTTGTGATGGTCAGCTTATCCCTATTCTGATGTCGAGAGATCCTGCTCCCCGTGGATTGGATGAATTGACATCGTGTAAATGCAAAATGTCAGCATGCCAGCAGAAAGAATGATATAGTGTGCACTGAGGCATGTCTTTTTGTATGGCAGCTGATTGTTGCCCGAACACCTTTGACTTGTTGCCAGTAGATGACTCCGACTCTGACATTAGTGAGTGAGTGAGTGAGTTTAGTTGTACACCGCACTAGGCAATATTCCAGCTATATGGCGGCGGTCTGTAAATAATCGAGTCTGGACCAGACAATCCAGGGATCAACAGCATGAACATCAATCTGCGCAATTGGGATACGATGACATGTGTCAACCCAGTCAGCGAACCTGACCACCGATCCCGTTAGTTGCCTCTTAAGACTAGTATGGGTTATTGAAGATCAATTCTAACCCGGATCTTCACAGGTCCGATTCTGACATGAAGTAACATATGAAATGAAAAGGAGGGTTAATTGCAAGCTTATGGATGTATCAAGAGTGATTAAGAGTTATCTGATAGAACAATTTGAATAGCTACAACCAAAGCTTAGATGTAGTTATCGGCCATGAAGCATAGTTTTCAAACACTTTTGAATAATGTTATTTCGTCAAATATTTTAGGAGTGTGAACAAGCTTTGATTGACCATATCATTGAAATTTAGCTCTATTCCTATACTGTATTAAACATTAGACACCAAATGAGTTGTTTGGATTTCATATCAGTACAAATTTAGTCTTCCACTAAGTATATGTAGTTAAACTACAATGGCGGCCATTTTGAATTCTGGGTAATATGTTAATTTTCCTAATAACATGCCGTTACTCTAGAAGTTAAGAGAAAACAAAAACAACTTGTTTTAGTAACAAAATAATGTTAACTGCCATTATATAAATCACCCTCACACATTTCCATAAAAGTCGGAGAATGGCTAAAATACCCTGTCTCAAAGAATAAGCGGTAAAACATTAAATTACCAAGATATGACAATACAAAATGACTTGTTTTGTGCCCAAGCCATCACTCTAGGAGAAACAAATGTCCAAAAACATCAAAAGTATCAACTTTGGATGTAAATGGAAACATTCGGTGTTCTTTTTATGTAAATTTAAGTACTAAGAAGGCAAAACACGACAAAACAAAATGGCGGCGAAAGTGGCGGCCATTTTGATTTTATTTTTCAAAACAAAATTATGTCAAATAATTCCTACTTCCTTTAGCAGTACACAGAAGTCAAAATGAAAGTGATCAGATTGATAGTAGTAAAACTATCAATGATTAACTTTGAGGTGTTGTCGGGCAGCAAACCAAATGTGACAAAAATGCTCGCAGACCCCCACCACATATAATGGCCTGTAAAAAAAACCTGATACCACAATCTGAGAGTATTACAGACCTTTTCATGAGCCCAAGACATCATACTAACTGAAAATAGTGTCAAACAAAATCAGTCCTGGGGAGGCTACGAAATCCTATACTGAACAGCAAAAGAAACGCAAGTTTTGAAAAGCTGAAATCTCATGAAGGTAAGCGTTCATGTTTATGGAACGTTCATGGTAAAGTGACGTAATGATCCCAGATGAGATGCAATTTGACGTCCATACGAACCATTCACACAAACACACCAACAGTGCAGCAAAACCATAATTTTAGCACGTGCATCGACGGTTATGGATGAAAAGCATGCATTTCACTCCGAGGTATCCTTTATAAAGGTTTGTGTCAAAAAACAGTTCAGTATTGACTCTAGGAGGTGTACACGCGACACAAACGATGCCTAGACTAACAGCTGAGCAGAGGGGAATGGCCACTGGAAAGTTACACGGAGGTAGCTCTGCAACCGCTGTAGCTAGACAATTGGGTTGTCATCTTACCACCATTACACGACTTGCTCAACGTCATCAGCAAAACGGGTTGCTGCTGATCGTCGCCGTACAGGACGGCAACGAGTGACAACTCATGCGCAAGATCGGTTCATCCGGGTCACTCATCTAAAGAACCGAACTCAAGCAGCAACAGTAACGACAGCCTTAGTTCTTGGGTCAAGGGGAGCAGTGCCAAGCGATACGATTAGGCGTCGTCTTTGGGCTGCTGGAATCCACTGAGGAAGGCCATATGCGGGGCCAATTTTGGCACGTAAACAACGCCAGCGACGTATGCAGCCCTCACACAGCAAGAGTGTCGATGGATTATCTGGCTCAGAACAACATTAACGTCTCTTTCCCCGGATATGGCTCCCATTGAACATTCTGGGACGAAATTGGACGGAGGATAGCTGCAGGTAGACGAACACTCACACTTGCACAATTGGAATAGAGATTGGTGTTTGAGCGGAACCAGTTGCCTAAGGCATTCTCTCAGACTCTAGTGAACTCAATGAGGCCACGTTTCACGGCCTGTGTGCAAGCTCAAGGTGTCTATACGCGCTACTAAACATACTGTCACTTTTCGCGTTCAGGGGTATCTCCATTTGACGGACTGTCGGAACTCGGAATAGTAAGAACTAGTGACATTGCTTTGTATCCACGTTTTAGGGTCGTTAACTTTTGTCGTCAAGATACTTTTTCCGAATATTCTGTGGCAGATTTAATTCAAACAACTGTTTTGATTTACTTGAGTGAGTGAGTTTAGTTTTACGCCGCAATATTCCAGCTATGTGGCGGCGATGTACTTGAAGCGTTTAAGTAATGTCTCCGTCACATGGAAATCTTTTGAGCCTGTATAAGTTCTTTAATTTTGGGGTAAATTATACCACCACCTTCTGTGTTGCAAATACTTTGTGTTCTCTTGATTTTGTCAGGCTTGTTGCCCCAGAAGAATTTGAATAATTTCTTTTGGAAAGGTTCTAACATCCAATCGGGAGGGTCTGCTGATGCTGAAAACAGGTGATTTAACTGAGTGATTGAAGGATAGTATTTCTAAAAGTTTTACTGGATCAATTTGATTAATTTCTTGTTTAGAGTACAACCTTTCGTAGAATGATTTTACTTCATTTAGGGTCATATTCTTCTAACATCTGTCCTTTACTATCTTCTATTCTAGTTATAGATTTATTTAAGAAATTTCTGGTTTCCAGTCCAAGAAAATATTTTCTTGGTTTTCTCAAAGTCGGTCCATTTTGCTTCATATATTTGCTCTAATTGATGGGTTAACATGTCAATTTCTCCAAAGAGTATTACTTTTAACTAAGCAATTTTCTTCCGTATCTAGTTTTATATACTGTTTGTCAAGATCTGTTTGTACTTGTTTCTCTCTTTTTACACATTTTCTTTTCCTTATTGCCGAATGTTGTATTGTCCTACCCCTAATAGTCATTAAAACAGTTTCTAAAAGTAGGTGGTCAGCGATGGTGTATTCATCAATGCTATCCTCCTTTCGGTATTGTTCTATCCTTTCTTTAATTATATTCTTTATCATGCTTACATAATCTTTATCTCTTAATAATGAATAATTCAATTTCCAAAAATCCTTACCGCGTATAATATCTTGATTGAAATGGTTATGGTGGAGTGGTCTGATTTGAAACTTGGATCAATTTCGGCTTTTACCAACGACGGTTATATGTTATGTTACGGTAACAAGTCTACTCTTCCTTGTTTTAGGGATTTGTTTGCCTCCATATCTTTTCCCATACGGATTTATTTCCCTCCATGGATCGTGGAGATCAAAATCATCCTTTAATTTAATTATCCTATCTCTAAACTTTTGATGAAATTCTGATAACGCGGGACACTGATTGAGTGAGTAAGTGAGCTTTGTTTTACGCTGTATTTAGCAAATTCAAGAAATATCACGGGACACCAGATATGAGCCTCACACATTGTACCCATATGGGGGATCGAACCTGGGTCTTCGGTGTGAGGAGAGAATAATTTACCCCTAGGCTACCCACCGTCCTACATCCCGACCATAAAATACAAAGTATATATAGATGCTTATGACAAGGATGGCGCTTGATCTGATTTTGTCAATCAAAAGAGTTGAGGACATGACACTATACCTTTATGAGTCTTGGATAAAATTCTACTTTCAGTCTCTGGACACTGATGTCTACCATCCTCGTGGCCGCTGTCTCTCTGTGTACCCTGTCCCTGGCACTGCAGGCGAGTAATGACGACTGTTCACATCCTCCCATGCAGGAAGTTGTTCCTGAAAAGGCTCATGGTTACATCCGGTCTGTTTTTGCGCCCTCTACGTACGACTGCGCTGCTGAATGCCAACTGTCTCCGCTGTGTCTGTCCTTCACCTTTGATCGTGAGAAACAGACATGTCAACTTCTGAACCAGACAAGGGCAAAGACGGATAGCAGCTTTACTGTCGGCAGTGGCGTCTTCTTTAGCAACATCCACGACTGGAAAATGGTTTGTATGAAGGGTTTGATCTACTTTCAGTCACGTTTGAACGGATACCTTAGGTTAACAGTTAACTCCACACATTGCATGTGGGGAATCGAACCCGGGTCTTCGGCGGGACGAGCCAACGCCTGAACCATTAGGCTACGCCTCCTATAACATAGGGAGAAGTATGTAACGAGAGAAGTTCAAATGACACCGTCCCATCAATAAGGCCTGTAAACGTTGGCAAAAGACCTTGGAAAGGGCCCTCCGTACCTCTGGAAGGAAAACTGTTTGATTGTTTGGTTACAATAAGTCTTCAGCAATCCATTCTTGTCGTAAGTGTCGACTAACGGGATCGGATAGTCATCGTATCCCAATAATTGGGTAGATTGATGCGCATTTGTTAATCACTAGATTGTCTGGTCAAGACTCGAATATTTACTCCATATAGCTGGAATATTGCTTCGAGCGACGTTAAACAACAAACAAACAAACTTATTGCAGGGATGATGTAATTTCAACGTGCATATGTGAACATATGTGCCATGATATATACTATTTGTATATTTAGTCACTGACAGGTGCCTGTGGTAGAGCTTCCTGTGGCGCTAATTCGCATTGCACTCTGGGAAGGAATGGCCAACCGCTGTGTGAAATATATGATGGTAAGTGCATATATACAATATGAAGACTATACAATTGTGTAATCTGTGTGTTAGGTAGTCATGAAACCAATAAACGCGTGTTGACAACCTCTGGTTCTGAAGTTCATGATTTTGCTCAACGAAATCCGCTCATGTTTGTCTCTACTCACTCGCTATTTACAACGATGACTTCCAGGTAAGTCTTCAAGCACTCGATATCTACGAACATGATAAACACGCAAGTCTCCAAACAAATGCTAGTTACAACAAGGTCTCGACGCACATGCTTTTTAAGAAAATGGTGAGCACATGCTAGATATAACGATAATTATTATGAAAAAAACATAATTATCCCGACACTTGACCACAGTACACTAAAACTTACTCTGTTGTGAAAGTGACAGTTACTCAGAGTGAGTGAGTTATTTAACGTCACATCGACAATATTGCAGCCATATCGTGATTTTGATTTTGAAGTGGAATATATGTATATTATAAAAAACCTGTCGATGAAGGACAGTAAAACAACTAGAATATCACAATTAGAATTAAAACTAGTGTGGAAAGTTTAAAACTAATAGCACTATTGGGGCAATACAATATAAAAACAGGCTATAGATTGCCAACAACAGAAGCTAGATCACCATACTAGGGACCATGGGGACTTACAGTACCTTTGCTACCTGCTTTGCTACCTAGCTGGATTTACACCATCCCTTCAGCCGCTGGCGATTGTAGGAAAATTTAGCCGGAAGTTAAAAGAACAAAAATACTACGATTAAAATGTGGTAAATTTACATCTTACTTTGAAAGTTTAGGGACTTACGTACCATCTCAGGAGGACAATAATTTTACAGTACTTTAACCCCTTTTGAGGGTACAGCCACTAACAATCTAAGTACCAATAATAAAATACATATCTAATTACAAACTATTCATCAAAATTTATCTAGCAATTCTATTTCTTTTCAAAATTCAAGGACTGTTACTCAGAGGATAAAGATATTGTGACATGGATTTCGTTCATTGCTAATGTTGTGAAAGAGTGTGTTAGAATGGCCGAAGAAAAGGAACCAGGCAGTTGTTGTTCGAATTGTACAAAATTTGTAAGACACCTGACATATTCGAGAGCCTGAAACTTAGAATTTCCCCTGCAGGCTTAAGAAGTGCAGGAGTACGAAAAACATCTCTTTGAATAGAAACACCATATGTCACTTCTGGCAAAACAAACAAGTAATAGACTATTCGCAAAGTGGCCCCGCACCAGATAACAACTGATGGATTCAAACCAGCCAGCAACCTGCAACCCTTACAGCCAATACTAAACCTGGTAATACAGCTGTATCAATAACAATTCAATGACGTGAAGCATCCTTGCAAGACGCCCAGCCAATGGCCAATATAGACGTCGACTTCAAAGTGTCCAGTAGAGCCGACAACACTTGCGATAAGAGCAATTGAGTGGAGAAGAGTTCTCGTCACCGAGCTGAGGGCTGAACGTGTGTCTTCAGGCGCAGAAGCCAACGTTACATCAGGCCATGTGTTGTGGGAAATGATCGTTTTGGAGGTGGAGCGTTATGACCTGATACGTTTTGACGTGCGGTGGAGGAGACGATATTGCAGGCACGGAGACGAGATTTTGCAAATCGCTTTACCATATTTTTAACAGAACAATGTTTAGCACGATAACACCAGAACACGTTGCTGCGGTTGCACAGGAGTATCGTACTCAGAACAATGTTTATTTGCTATCCTGACACACACGATTCTCCCTTGCTTGTCACTCACAGAACAAGTCTGAGATGAAATGGAGCGAAGTCCTCTTCACTCGCCCGAGTAGTGTAACAAGACTGTAGGAAATCCACTAAATCTTTCCTCGGATATGGAGTGAACTTGCCCAGGAGTTTCATCCACGCTTAGTGACCTCGATAAGTGGAAAGTGCAATGGCTGCATCAATGCACAAGGTTGACACACCCACTATTGACTGTGTGAACTTGTAAACCCCAGCCTGTGTTGTGGATCAATTGAACGTGCCAGGTGCGCTGTTCTTATGGATCGTCACCATACCTTGAAACTTTATATACTCTTCAAAAAAATGAAACTTGACATAGGAACAATTTGAATTTTAAGAAAATATTTGACACAAACCAATCCATGCTGTATCCCAACATGCAGAGGAATGGTTGCCGACGACAAAACGTTTACAAAAAGAAACGTTGAACAAAAACGTAACATTACACTCACGTTTGTAGTGAATCGCTAAAACGCACACTACATTGAACGCACGTGAATCATGAAATTGTGTATCACCCCGAGCTGAAACCTGACTGTAGGTTTTAAAAAGCCACATCAACGGTACTCCACATGCATTGCTTTAAGCCATTATAGACGACGAAAGAATGCCAAGACTGACAGAAGCTCAACGCCACAACGCCATTGGCCGTTTAGAAGGAGGGGCATCGCAGCATGAGGCGGCAAGGCACTTCGGCGTGTCCCGACAGACCATCTCAAATCTATGGACCCGATGCAGCAATACTGGGAATGGTAATGACAGACCCAGGTCAGATCGGCCTAAACTTGCCACCGCCGCCGAGGATCGCTACATCCGGTTGAG